CGGTTTTCGAGGATTGAACGCAGACAGGAAAATCATTGACGGCTACAGCCGATGGGGTCCAGAAAACCCCAGGAGGAGGAGGATGCAGACCCAGGCCTCCAGGGCACATTCGCGATAGACGTGTGTTCTGCCTCTTCGCCTTCCCGCGGCCCCTTGTCCGAGCACGGGGGCCCTCAACAGAAGCCAGCGGCGGTCCCAGATACGGATGTCGTGATTTCAGTTATCGCCACGTGGACACTGGTGGTCTCGGCCACTTCCCCAGGACTGTTTGACGTTAAGGCAGAAGATGCAGCCGGCCACCGCCTCGAAATCCTTGTCCTCCTCGCCCTCCTCTGGCGCTTCTCTTCCTCCTCCTCCCCGCTCTCACCGTCCTCTTCGCCCTCCTCGTCCTCCTCGCCCTCCCTCCTCTTCGACCTACCAATCAGACCCGACTGGTCGATCCCCTGCTCTTCAACCCGAGTCGTTTTTAGAACCCATTTTGGTATCCTCCGTCAGCAACGGCCATTGACGTGACGTTTTGCGTCTGGTGGCGTCAAGCTTTGCATCCGCGGGGGTTATGGGGGAGGGGCCTAGCAAAGTCGGGCCTGGGCGTGGATTGGGACGGCGACGGCGATGACGACGACGACAACGACGACGTCGTGAAGGTTTCAGAGACCTCTGGAGGTGCACATGGGCAGTGCGCACTTGTACACATGCATTGAGATGTTGTGGTGCAAAGCTTCCGTTGCAGCCGTATCTGTGGTGTACAGGCGTCAGGCGTTGTGGTGAACACAGGCACAGTGCTGCACACGGTTGCTTGGAATATAGAGGCACCGTGGTGTACAGGCATTGTGGCGCGCACATGTGCAAACACATCGGTCTGTGTGGTGTACACAAGTATGATGGCGCACGCAGGTATCATTGTTGAAGCATGTGTTGTGTACACAGGCACACTTGTGTACATATGCGTTGAGGTGCACATCGATTGTGTGGTACACACTGGCGTTGTGAGCCTCCCTCAATTTGGGGGCCGTACCTTGGGCCAGAAGAGCAATGAACCCATCGCGACCCCGATCAGGGGAACGCGTCCTAAGCGGTATTGTTTCAAATTGTCTGGTATTGCATTGCTTTTTTGGCATTGCAGTGATTTGCGTTGCTTGGCAGTGCTTGGCAGTGCTAGGCGTTGCTTGGTATTATTTGGCAGTGCTTGGCATTTGTTTGGCGTTGCTTGGCATGGCTTGGCATTGCGTGGCACTGCTTGGCATTGCTTGGTGTTGCCTGGAACTGCTGGCATTGCTTGCATTGCCGGGCATTGCGGTGCATTGCTCGGCATTGCTCGCCATTGCCTGGCGTTGCGTGGCGGCGTTGCCTGGCGTTGCTTGGCGTTGCTTGGTGCTGCTTGGTACTGCTTGGCATTGCTTGGCGTTGCTTGGCATTGCCTGGCATTGCTCGGCAGTGCTTGGCAGTGCTTGGCGGTGCCTGGCAGTTCCTGGCGTTGATTGGCATTGATTGGTGTTGATTGGCATTGCTTGGCGTTGCGCGGCGTTGGGTGGCGTTGCTCGGCATTGCTTGGCAGTGCTTGGCGGTGCCTGGCAGTTCCTGGCGTTGCTTGGCAGCGCTGACTGGAGTTGATTGGCATTGCGTCGCGTTGCTTGGCGTTGTTTACTGCTGCTTAACATTGCCTGGCGTTGTACGGCATTGCCGGGCATTGCTTGGCATGGCCTGGCAATGCGTTGCGTGTTTGGCGTTGTTTGGCGTTGCTTGGCATTGATTAGCCTTGCTGGGCGTTGCTTGGCGTTGCTCGGCATCGCTTTGCATCGCTTGGCCGAGGAGTACCTCTCTAAAAAACAAAACCAAGCAACCCCGAGGAACGCGACTGTAAAGAAACAGGACGAAACAACCTCGAGGAACGCCACTGTAAGGAAACACGACCAAGGACCCTCAGGGAGGAACCCCTTTGTAAGGGAACAAAATCAAGAAAGCGTAGGAAACACGGCGACGGCCGCTTCTGGCACCTACCAGGTTCTTCATAAACACATGAGAAACAGACACCCCAGGCAATATTCACAGGTCAGCGTGGTGTGCACAGGCACTGTTTTGCTTGCTACCTCTTTGCACGCGGCTGCCGTGGTGTACACAGGCAACGTGGTGTACACAGGCGCTATGGTGCACACAGATGTTGTTGCTGCAGCAGCTATGGTGCACACAGGTTATGTGGTGTACGCAGTGATTGCTGTCCGGAGGTATTCGACCGTGGTGGCAAGGGCTCTCCCCGACTTCCCGAAACACATAGGAACGTCTGAAAGCCTCGGCCTTCGATGAGGACCCCCACGACGATGACGGCGTCTTCGCCGCCGACGTGCACGACGACGACGACGTCGACGACGACTACGAGGACGGTGAGGACGACGGCGACGACGACGACCACGACGACGACAAGGACAACGGCTGCGACGGAGGCGCCCACAGGACGTCGCGCTGCAGCTCGCGAGGGACAACGAGATGCGCGGGCGGCCGATGAGCGTGGAGCTGCTGGCGGGGGGTGAGGGGCCCTTGCTGCCCGCGGGCTGGGCTGCAGCACAGACTGAGACTACGATCTCGAAGGCGAAACTCACAGAGCGCGTTCCACTACTCGCAAAGTGCCTACTCGCAAGACGTGAGCAAAACGCACGTTCGCCGCCTTGTAATGGATCGTAAGTCACTCGCGGCGGATCCAGGCCATTTGCGAGTAGTTACTTTGCGAGTACTGGAGCGCGCTTGTCTAGAAACAGGTGCGTAAACATACGCTTTCGGATGTTCGGGCGGCTGTTTCGGATCGGCGCTGGAGCCCCCTGGCGGCGCCTTCGGCGCCGCCGCTGGCGCGCTTCGCGCGCCAGGGAGCGGTGTTCTCCTGCTTGGAGTCGACCGTGGGTCTGAGGTGGCCCAGTTCTGGTACTGGCGAGCAGGGAGGGGCGGGGCGAGGTTCGAGGCTCTGGGTCCGAGGAGTTTTTCCCAAGCATTCCTGTGGTGCTGGGTCCTCGTTCTGAGGAGGCGGTCCCCGCGCTCCTCTCCGCCTCCTCTTCCCCCCCCTCCTCTCCACCGCCCGCATGCGTCCCCCACACCCAATCTGGCACACCCCTCACACGTTTCGTGGCCCCATGGGGAGCTCCACCGAAGCCCACAGTGGGACCGCCCGCATGCGTCCACCATGCTCAATTTGGCACACCCCCCTCACACGTTTCGTGGCCCCATAGGGAGCTCCACCGAAGGCCCCATTGCCACCGCCCGCATGCGCCCCCCACACTCATTTCAGCACAGCCCTCACATGTTTCGTGGCCCCATAGGGAGCTCCACCGAAGGCCCCAGTGCCACCGCCCGCATGCGCCCCCCACACCCAATTTGACATGTTCGCCCACACAGTACAGCGTTTCGTGGCCCCATAGGGGGCTCCACCGAAGCCACCAGTGGGGCCGCCCGCATGCGCCCCCTACGCCCAATTTGGTATCTGTATCCATCCAGTACAGCGTTTCGTGGCCCCATAGGGAGCTCCACCGAAGCACCCAGTGGAACCGCCCGCATGCGTCCCCCACACCCATTTTGGCATTTTCACCCACCCAGTACAGCGTTTCGTGGCCCCGTGGGGAGTTCCACCGAAGGCCCCATTGCCACCGCCCGCATGCGTCCCCACACCCAATTTAGTAGTTTCACCCGCCCAGTACAGCGCTTCGTGACCCCATAGGGAGCTCCACCGAAGCCCCCAGTGGTACCGCCCACATGCGTCCCCCATATCCAATCTGGCATTTTCACTCACCCACTACAACGCTCCCTGGCCCCATAGGGAGCTCCACCGAAGCCCCCAATGGGACCGCCCGCATGCGTCCACCATGCTCAAGTTGGCATTTTCACCCGCCCAGTACAGCGCTTCGTGGCCCCATAGGAAGCTCCACAGAAGCCCCCAGTGGGACCGCCCGCACGCGTCCCCAACAGGGAGCTCCACCGAATCTTCCAGTGGGACCGCCCGCATGCGTCTCCCACACTCAATTTGGCATCTTCACTCACCCACTACAACGCTCCCTGGCCCCATAGGGAGCCCCACCGAAGCCCCCAGTGGGGCCCGCATGCGTCCCCCACACCCAATTCGGCATTTTCTTCACCCTTTACAACGCTTCGCGGCCCCATGGGGAGCTCCACCGAAGCCTTCAATTGGACCGCCCGCATGCGTCCCACACGCCTAATTTGGTATTTTCACCCACCCAGTGCAGCGTTTCGTGGCCTCATAGGGAGCGTCACCGACTGCCCCAGTGCTACCGCCCAAATGCGTCCCCCCCCCGCCCAGCGCAGCGCTTCGTGGCCCCATAGGGAGCTTCACCGAAGAATATATTCACGATTGCGGCACCCACAACTTCATATGGTTGGGTCCTTCGCCAGGATCATTTTTTGTAGGTAGCCGTTTTGGTCTACGCCCAGGGCCTCCGGGGTTCGAGAAGATTGTTTCAACTGTTTGTTGGGGCCTGCGGGGGCCAGTCTCGGGCCCCTGGGTCATCAGAAACAGATCTGGGGTGGAAAGTTGGCCTTCGCCCGCGCGTCTCCCGGAATCGGGGGGTCCGGGAGCGATCCGGGTTCGCTTCTCGTTCGATCACGGAGCGTCTTCTTGCCATGAGCCCAGATATCCAAGAATCTGACCGCTTCAATCTGGCGCGTCTTCCTCGATCTCGGCCTCGGGGCACACTAGATGGCCTGGGAACCATCAGGAATGGATCTGGGACGAAAAACCACCCCCAGGGAAGGGGTCGTGATCTCTTGGGCCGCGGGTAGAAGAAGTCATATCGGAGGATATCTGGGGAGGGGGAGAAGGGGCGTGACGAGGGCCGAAAGGAAATCCGCACTTCACGCAAGTCGGGACTCATTTGCGCGCCTTCTCGGCACATCGGTGTCTGACAGAGCGGCGGAGGCGGGGGGGAACGCCAGGAAAGCAAGCTTGCCAGACTCTGGACAGGCATATGTTCTGGATTCCTGCCCGCGGGACGGGCTGCAGCGCAGAGTCGCAGGTGACTTCTCGCCCCCGCTTCCCGAGATCTGCCCGAGAAGGCAGGAAGGCGGGGGGCGGCTCGGGGATTCACCCCAGGAGGCCAGTCGGACGCACCCCCTGTCGAGGACGGACGCCCCCCTCGTGCATCCCCGAGTTTGGCTTCCGATGTTTGGTGCGCTCGGAAGCCCCGCAAGAGTCGGGGAGTGGGGTCGTCATACCCCCTTGTTGCAGATTGGGACGAGAACCGCAGGGGGCTTTCCAGAGCCTGCGGTGGCGGTCAAAGGCCTTTTTGTTCCTGCTTCCCCTCTTCTCCGCCTCTTCCTCGGCCTTGTCCTCCTTCGTCGTCCGTCCGTCTGTGCCTCCTGATTCCCAGCAGATGTGTGAGATGTGCGGGGCTTGTCGGAGGGCGTGTTTGGGTGCTGGAGAACGGTTTCTTCCTCGTGCGACCAATTCAGGGGCAACAGTAAGGGGGAGCTCAGCTCAATGGGGGAGAGGCCCAGAGGTTTTGGGATGTGCTCGTCAGTTCCTGGAGGTTCTCCTGCCTCGGGATGCGTCTTGGCAGCTGCGCCTCGCCGAGAGGAACCCAGGGGGCACCCAGATCGTCCCGAAGGGCCTCTCGACGCCCGAGTCGTGACCCGAAAGCCAGACGACACGGATCACGGGGGGGGGGGATCGGCTCAGGGGCGGGTGCATCGACCCCGAATCCCCCACTCGTCGCCGATGGTCCGGCGCTCGCAACCATGGATCAATGGGGGCGTGGATGAGCGACGGGCCCCGCTTCCACGGGAAATCCTGGATCTCCGCCGCCGAGCGAGGCGGCACCGGCCGCATTTTGGGGGAGGGCACCTCCCCCGATCCATGGATTTGGCGATTGCGCGTCAGATCGATCGGGATCGCTAATCCATGTTTGCGCGCCCACGAGATTGGGGCCTGATGACCCACCTCGCTCAGGAGCGTGAGGTTTCGCTGTCGGGGGCCTGTCGCCGATCTATCGGCGACGCATCGCGGATTCCATCTCAACGGTTCTCCCCCTGAGCTGGTCCCCCCCTGGCGCTGTCTCTCAACGGGACGCGGTCTGCTGGCCACAAGGGGGCCCATGGTTTGAAGGGTCGGCTTGTCGATAACATCCGACAGTAGATGCGTCGAGGTCCGGCCCGAAGATCTTGCGCCCAGGACACCTTGCGAACTCGAATGCCAGCAAACGTATCGACGAGAAAGGTGCCCGCAGGCTTGATGTAGCAAGAAGTACTACTGTATAGATGTATTGCTGTCCCTCCCTCCATCCTCTCCCTCCCTCCCTTTCCCTTGACCTCCACCTCTTCCCTGAACCTCCGCCTCCCTCCGCGGTTCTCATCCTTCTCCTAATGCCCTCCCCCCAAAGCAGCTCAGCGAACTGAGCCGATCGTGGTGGATAATGTTGAGGAGGAGAAGGAGGAGAAGGAGCAGGAGGAGGAGAAAGAGAAAGTCGAAGAGATGAGGTGGGGCAGGAGGAGGAGGGTAAATAGGAGGAGGAGGAGGAGGAGGAGGAGGAGGAGGAGGAGGTGGAGGAGGAGGAGGAGGAGGAGGAGGAGGAGAGGGAGGACGATTGAAGATTCTGGAGGTTTGGAGGCGTGGCTCGACGCGCGCTTCCATTTCAATGAGGGTCCTGCCAGCATGCTCGTTGAACAAGCCCCCCTGCCGTTTTCTTCAACTTGTGGGGGGCAAAGGCGCGCAGCAGTTTGCGGGACACTGTGTTTCGGTTTCCGGGTAAGGGGCAGAAGAGTCGTGAGCCCAGACTGGGGTGGCCAAGCCACCACTCCACGGCCAGGAAGACGGCCCCATGGAGAGTGTTTTTTTTCACCCTCTGTGCCATAACGCGCGTTATGCCCCCTACCCTCTCCCGCCTATAGACTCATAACGTAACGCTCCCCCTCTCAGTGCATCCCCGGCACTGCCGCGGTGCGTCCAGCACCAACCAAAGTCTGGGGGGGAGGGTGCGCTATGCCCCGTCTCGTTCCCCCCTCCCCCTCCCCCCCCATAACGCCCGTTATGGCCGCGAATTAATTCATGCGCTCATGTTGCAGCACTCGTTGAGTTGAGCCCTCTTACTTTCTGGGCTCAGGCCTGGGAAGGGAGACGTATAGAGCTCGATGATCGTGGGAAAAGCGCGGGGCCGCTGTCCAGGCCCGCGCCTCTTCTCTTGCGCGCAATCGTTATGCTTTCGAGGCTGTCTCTCCGCTTACCTTCCACTGTCGTTGGGTCGGGGTGGGCCGCGTGGATGCTCCACAGGCAGAGACACCGACGACCCCCAAGCGGGTGAGCAACGTGGACTTCGATGTGATGGCTGGCAGGAGCGCTCTCTCCTCGAACGTTGCGCAAGCTGGGTCAAGGGTGCTCAGACAGTCCTCGGTGCAGTCGGCGAGCGGTGAGAGGAGACGGGCACAGGGACGCTGCCGCATGTACTCTTAAATCCGTCTTCCGAGCTCGCGGTAGCCCCTCCTCTGCTGCCCTAGATTCTTCGCTCCCTAGATTCG